CCAGTTCTTTTATGCGTGAGGCATAAAATAATTATATTTCCCCAAAAAAGAGAAAGTTTCTGTCCATTTCTTTGCCCCATTTTTTGATGGGCTTGGATATTTTTTCCTTGTAGAGTTCAACCAGCGCCTTGTATATGAACCCCTTGTCAGAAGGGTTTGGGGTGAATAACCTTCCCTATTCTGTCGGCTGTCTTTGTATCTTGGTCACTGTTTCTTTTGAGGTGCAGAAGCTTCTTAGTTGAGTGTAGTCCCACTTGTTTATTTTTTCTCCCACTTGTTCAGTGGCATTTCATCTTTGCAGATGCCCTTAGCGTCATTATTGTGGAGGGTTTTGCCTACGTTTTCCTCCAATGTACCTTATGGATTCAGGTCTCATGTTGAGGTCTTGAATCCATTTTGATCTGACTTTTGTGGCATGATGTTAGATAGAGGTCTGAGTCCTTTTTTTTTTTTTGCATGGAGATGTACATTTTTGCTCCACTTCACATTTCTTGCTCCCTTATCAAAGATTAAATGATCATAGATTTGAGGGTTTCAATCATATTACATTGGTCTGCGGGTCTGTCCTCATTCCAATGCCATGCTGTTTTAATTACTGCTGCTTTGTAGGACAGTTTGAGATTGGGGAAGGTTATTCCTCCCCAAAAGATTGGAATCTTTTTCCAATAATTGCTTCAGCTATTCCTGGGGGTTTATTGTGCCATACGAATTTCAAGAGTGTTTGATCAATTTCTTTGAAAAATGTCCTGGGTATCCTTAGAGGGATTGCGTTTAATCTGTATGATGCCTTGGAGAGTATTGCCATTTTTGACAGTGTTACTCCTCCCAGTCCGTGAGCAGGTAATGTTTCTCCACTTCTCTGTCTTTTTTTATTTCTTGAAGTAGCATTTTATAGTTTTATTTGTACAGGTCCTTTACCTCCGTAGTTAAGCAGTTTCTGAGGTACTTGATTTTCTGAGGCATGATGTAAACAGGATTTTTTTTAAATACCACTTTCTTTAAAGAAAATATTTTTTGCTTCCAGAGATGCTCGGGGGTTACTCCTGCGTGTGCTTGGGGGACTATGTGGGATGCTGGGGATCGAACCTGGGTTAGTTGCGTGCAAGGCAAATGTCCTACCTACTGTACTGTTCCTCCAACCCTTAATATCACTTTCTTCTCTTTCATTATTTGCATACAGGAAAGTTCTGGGCTTTGGGGTATTGATTTATAACCTGCCACTTTACTGTAGACAAATCTGTTGTTTCTAGGAGCTTCTTGGTCGAGGCGTTCCGGTTCTCTAAGCATAGTCTCATGTCATCTACGAATAGTGAGAGCTTGACTTCTTCCTTTTCTACCTGGATGCCCTTCGTATCTTTTTCTTCCCTACCTGCTGTGGCAGATGCTTCCTGTACTCTACTGAATAAAAGTGGTGAGAGCGGGCGTCCTTGTCTTATCTCTGATCTTAGCGGGAAGGCTCTTCGTTTTTCCCCATTGAGGACAATGCTTGCCGTGGGCTTGTGGTAAGATGGCGTTGACTAGATCCAGGAAAGTTTTTTTAATGACCATTTTGCTGAGGGTTTTCATCATAGATGGGTGCTGGATCTTGTCAGATGCTTGCTCTGCATCTGTTGATATGATCATCTGGCTTTTATCTTCTTTTATTGATATGATGAATCATGTTGATTGACTTGCGATTGTTAAACCATCCTCGCATCCCCGGGATGAATCCCACTTGGTCGTGGTTACACACTTACTTACGCCAGATTGTGTCTCCTTTCAAATTCCCAGCAGAGGAGAGTTGGATTTCTCGCTTGTGCCACTGGTGAGCATAATTTTTCACTGACAGGCATGATTCTGTACAGTTCCTCTCAGAGTTCTTCTTTCACGTTTCTGTCTTAGTATGTAAAAGGACAGTCAGCTCTACAGGCCAGCCTTCTCCTACACTCCTCCTGGCCCAGTGTTGCTCTTCCGCGCTGCTGCCGGTGTTCCTCGGCTTCTGAGACTCGCCCCGTCCTCGAAGAGGCCCTCCCCTCTCCTGTAGACCCACCCCTTTATGTGGGCCACCACTGAGCTCCACTGAGTCTCCACTGAATCTCCACTTGGCCTCCACTGAGTTTCCAGTGAGCCTCCAGTAAGCCTCCAGTGAACCTCTAGTGAGTCTCTAGTAAGTTTCCAGTAAGTTCCGGTAAGTTCCAATCAGCCTCCAGTGAGCCCCCTGTAAGTCTCTACTAAGTTTCCAGTAAGTCTCCAGTCAGTCTCCAGTGAGCCCCAGTAAGTCTCTCGAGAGTCTCCAGGGAGTTCCAGGGATCTTCGTCGCCTCTCCACTGTCTTCGCCTTCTCCTCCTCTGAGGCTCCTTCTAGAACGCCTCTGTTTGCGTGGTACGGCTCAGTGCTCAGGACGTTCAGCAGACGTCACGCTGTTAGCCACCACTTCCTCAGTTTGAACAGGGCCGCTTCAAAGTTGGCGTCTTATGTTCGGCCATCCTGTGTTCAGCATGATTCACGTTACGACAGCCGTCAGCTTTTGTTTTGGAGACGGTCCGCAAAGCACATGAAGAGATGATTAGTCGTCAGGGAAATACCGGTCACATGGCCTCTCGCAGTGTTCCCGCGCTTTTAGAATTTGTCTACCAGGTTTTCCGGTTGCCACTGGAAAGTCCCCTCCCCGACCCCAGAAGCAAAAAGAAAATCTGTCCTTCCACACCGCAGGCGGCTGGACGAGCGGGAGAGGGAGCCCTCGGGTGGCCCCAGATGGCCCAGCTATTTTTTCCATCTGAACGGGGATTTTTATAGTACAGTTTACAAAACTGTTACTTCTGTCCTTATTTTCCAAATGTAAAATTAAACAAGCAGAAGGATTTTTGTTTTGTTTTGGGGCCACACCCAGCCACGCTCAGAGCTTCCTCCTGGCAGTGCTCAGGAGTGAGCAACCGTACGGGGTGCCGGCATTGAACCAGGTCAGCTGTGTGCAAGGCGCCCGCCCTCCCCGCTGTCCTGTCATTTTGGACCCCGAAACTCAGGATACGTCAGCGGTAGAGAGAGAAAATTCCACATCCTGCACACATAGCTCAGTGGCAGAGCACCTGCGTGTGTGTGTGTGTGAGGCTCCGAGTTCCAGCCCTCGCACTGCCCCAAAGAGAAGGCGAGGGGGGCCGGGGCGGGGGAAACGGAAGAGAAACTCCGTATTCTCTATCCCCCCAACACAAGGCACCCTCCCTCTCCCCCCCCCCCCCCCCCCCCGCTGTTGTCAGAGCGTCCCTGCTTTCCTGTTTGGGACCCCGCGTGTCACACACGCTTCCTGGCTGGTGCTTTCCCCGCTGGGCGGTGGAGCGGGGGCTCGTCGGGACAGCCTGTTGTGTGCACGCTCCGCGTCGTGCTTATTCCCTTGTTGCTGGACACCTGCGCTTTTTCCGGTCCTCCTGAGAACACGAGTGACTTTGGGGGTGAACACCTCCCTTCCCTTGCTGTGGGTCCGTGTCACAGCTGGCTCCACCATGTCCTGTGGTGGCCCCGATCAGGCTTCGATTCTCTCGTCCGAGAGCCCACGGCCCTCTTCCTCCCCTGGGGCGTGTGTGCAGGCCCCTCTTTCTCCACGGTGCTCTGGTGCTCACTCTTGCTCATCCAGCCTCATCCAGCCTCGGGTGGGGGGGGGGGGGGGAGAAAGGATGTTTTGCTTGATATTTCTAATGACTAATCATCTCTTCACAAGCTCTTAGCACCTTCTCATGTGCTCTTAGATCATTGGTGCATCCTGCTGAAAGCAGTGTCTGTTTCTTGCCCATTAAAAAAAAAAAGTGGGGGGAGGACAGGATTATTTCTCTATTTAAAATTTTTTTTCTTGGGCTTTTTGGGTCACACCCAGCAATGCTCAGGAGTTACTCCTGGCTCTGCACTCAGGAATCAGTCGTGGTGGTGCTCGGGGACCATATGGGATGCCGGGGATCGAACCCAGGTCAGCCGGGTGCAAGGGAAGCGCCCTGCCTGCTGTACTGTCGCTCCAGCCCCCAAATTTCTCCTTCTGTCCTGGATTTGTAGGAGTCTGGCTATCAGACCCTTGCCTGAAACGTGGTTCGCAACCCGTTTCTTCTCTCTGCCTCCCGGCATTGGTTTGTGCCATACCACCGAGCTCACCGCGTGGCAAACCGTTTCTTCCCCTGGGTCCCTGCGTTGGTTTGTGCCGTGCCTCGAAGTCCCCGAACTTTTCTCGGGTCTTTTCTCTTTCTCTGGCCTGGCTCTGCTCTTCTTTGACCCTGTGCTTTGAAAAAAACACGAGTTTCTCACTTTGGTGAGGGCCCATCGAGTTTTTGCTGTTGCAGGAAGCTTTTCATAGTGCATGTTACAAGTCTCTGACTTCTATCCTCGTTTTCCAAATGTAAAATCACAAAAACGCATAATGTCTCAGGAGCTGTCCGATTAGCCTGGAGCCCTGGGTGGCTGGAGTCCGCCCCCTTCAAGCGGGGAGGGGGGCTTGACTGTGAGTTTTCGCCCCACTGCCTTAGCGGATGCTTCTGCTACTTTTTGTAGCCGTTCACAAAAGGAAAATTTTTGCATGCTTCAAACAGGCTTGTCTTTGGGGGTCTTGGGGGGTCTTTTTGAGTCACACCGGCGATGCTCAGAGGTTACTCTTGACTCTGCATTCAGGGATAACTCCTGGCAACTCTCAGGGACTGTATGGGGTGCTGGGCATCGAACCCAGGTCAGCCATGTGCAAGGCCAAATGCCTTACCCGCGGTACTATCATTCTGGCCCCCAACCTGGACAGTTTTAGACTTAACAGCTAATCTAAAATAAAATTGCAGCTAGTAGCAAACAGAAGTGGAAAGTTAACATTCTGCAAAGCCTCACGCTCACTCCGGTCTTTAATTTCCAAGTGCATCTGGGTGACATTCACACGCTGATGGTTCACTGTCATTCCCTTCACCGGCACCTGCAGAGTGACTTCACCCCAGTTGGCTGTTGTGGGGCCGCCAGGAAAGGCCAAGGTGTGCCCAGCCTCACGGATCTCTCTCCTCTGACAGGTGTGGCAGATCCCAGAGAATGGGCTCACCCTCTCCCTGACGGAACCGGTGGTGGTCTTAGAAGGCCACTCGAAGAGGGTTGGCATCGTGGCCTGGCACCCGACTGCCCGCAACGTGCTTCTCAGCGCAGGTAAGAGCCCCGCCGGCCTCTCCTCTGGTCGGCAGCCCCTGGGCTGAGCCTGGGCGCAGCTCAGCCTGGGGGTGGGGGGGGGGGGGGGCGTCTGGGGCAGACCGTCGGGGCTCTAGGAAGTGTCGCACCTCGGCGGGTGCACGCACGTGCCCGGCACACGGGATGCTCTCTGCTTGGAGCAAGACAGGTCACACCCGTTTCGGCATCTGCTTTCTGGCGGCAGCTTCCGTGAACCCCAGTTGAGTGACTCCTGATGCAGGAGAGGGGACGGGTTACCCAGCAGCCCTGGGCTCGGCTCTGGGGATGCTGCCAGTCGGAGGTGATCCTGAGCGGCGGAAGACGTTCCTTGGAGAAAGAAGACGAACTTTCGGGCCAGAGTGAGGGAGGGCGTTTGCCACGCGTACAGCCGACCCGGGCTTGAGCCCTGGCGCCACACCTGGTCCCCGAATCCCCCCAGGAGGGACCACGCACCACCACTGGGTGTGGCCCCCAGACAAACCAAAAACCCCACTTTGACGTTTCTCCTTCGGCAAGCGGTATGTGTTTACGGCAGAGAATGTAGATGAAAGGGAGAAATTTAAAAAAAAAAAGCATTCTAAACTCTTGTCCCAGGGGAAGCTACATTATCCCCATTTGAGGGGTTTGTTTTTGTGTTCTTGTGTTTTGGGCCACACTCAGTGGTGCTCAGGACTTCCTCCTGGCTCGGTGCTCAGGGGTCCCGCCTGACAGTGCTCATGGCCCATGCGTGGTACTGGGGATCAGACTTGGGCAAGCCAGGTACAAAGCAAGTTCTTGCTGTCAGCCGTCTCTCCAGCTTCTGCCCTTTCTGCTTTGGTGCGTTTTTATGTCTTCAAAGACATTTCTTTTTCTCAAAGTTTCGTGATTTTAATGGTCAGTAGCTTCTGACCGGCCCTGAGTAGTGCAGTTTGGAAGCATGCTGAGGGCCCCTCCCTGGCCTGCGCAAATGCTTGGTAGAGCTGTTTCCGTCAGGCCTGCCACCAGGTCAGGCCCACACAGCCTCAGACCCGCATCTCGGCGTGACGAGTCAGTAAAAGCCCTGGGTGCGTGCGTGGTCTGTGTAGCACTCGCTGTCCTGCCGTTGTTCATCGATTTGCTCGAGCGGGCACCAGGAACGTCTCCATGGTGAGACTTGTTGTTACTGTGTCTGGCATATCGAATACGTCACGGTGAGCTTGCCAGGCTCTGCCAGGCGGGCGAGATCCTCTCGGTAGCTTGCCGGGCTCTCCGAGAGGGGCGGAGGAATCGAACCTGGCTCGGCCGCATGCAAGGCAAACGCCCTACCTGCTGCGCTATCGCTCCAGCCCATGGTCTGCGTTGCTTTCAAATTCCAAGGGACAGAGCAGTAATGCAGCAGGGAGAGTGTCTGTCTTGCGTGCTGCCGACAGAGGTTCGACCTCTGAGTGCAAAGCCAGGAAGAACTTCTTAGCCAAAACTGCCGGGTGTGGCCCAAAAGCAAAACAAAAAAAATAAATCAGGCCTGGAGCAATGCAGTTCAGCAGGTAGCGCGTTTGCCGTGCACGTGGCTGACCCGGGTTCCATCCCCAGCATCCCAGATGGTCTCCCAGCCCCGCCAGGAGCAGCTTCTGGAGTGCAGAGCCAGGAGTAATTCCTGCGTGCAGAGCCAGGAGTAAGCTCTGAGCATCGCCAGGTGTGACCCAAAAACAGAACAGAAAAGCTGGCCGAACGCCTTCCCGCTGGCTCTGGGGCGCGACTGTGACTGTGGCAGTCTGGCTGCTCCCGTCCCCTGTGGGCTGGTTGTTTGCTTCTCTCCCTGCCGGCCCGACTGCAGCCACCCGCAGTGCGATCTGCTGACCTTTTTCCGTAGTCCGACAGGGCCAGCGGGGCTGCCTTGCTGTGCCAGCGCTTCTGAGCAAGCTGTCCCTGGCCCAGCGTGGGTGGGGGAAGTGAGTCTGTGCAGGGCCGGGGCCAGTGGAAAGAAACTCCTTTTCTCGTGTGTGTGTGTGTGTGTGCGCGCGCGCGCGCGCGCGCCATCTGTGCTCAGGGCTGACTCCTGGCTCTGCACTCAGGAATTACTCCTGCCGGTACTCGGGGGACCATGATGCAGGTTGCCAGGGATCGAACCCGGGTCGGCTGCGTGCAAGGCAAACACCCTCCCCGCGGTGCTGTCACTCCAGCCCTGACAGAAGTCTTCTGACTTAACTTAAGACTCAGGGTTTCTGTCTTCTTTCCGACACGCCACGCACAGGGCACCAGGGGGCGGTGTTCTGGTCCCCGATGCTGGCCATGGCTTCGTGCTTCAGTGAGCGCATCCCCGCCAGCGGAGGTGCGGGCTGTCCTGACTCTTCACAGGGTACTGGGGAGTCAGGATATTTAATGGCAGGGACTTACTGAACCACAGCTGTTTCAAAAAGCCGTGGGGTTCTCCTTGTTAAAAATCACAGTGCACTTTCCCTGGGCACCTTGGGATGTTCTCCGAACCCCAGACCCAGCCCGGAGCGAGGGGGAAAAACAATCCAGAGGTGCAATTCCGTCCTGGAAAATTCCTTGCTCCCCTTCCCGACTCAGTCGGACACGAGCCAGCCGCCGCCGCTGGGCGCCTCGTGCCTGCCAGCCAGGCGGAGTGGAGGGGCGGTCCCCTGCGTGTCGGGGACCAGACGGTCCCTCCTGGAAGCCGGAGGGAGCTGAGCTGACCCTGGCGCTTCCCTCTCGCGCTGCTTGGCCTCGGACACCCTCTCTGGCCAGTGTTTCACCCGGTAGTAGCGGCTGGTACTGTCTGAAGCGCCCACAGGGTTGGTTTCTGGGTTCTGTGTTGCCCTTCCCTTATTTTACTGCCGTCTTGACCTAGTTGCCTGGAAGCAGCGGAAGGAGCCTGTTCTCGGGGGCCCCGGGAGCCGGGCAGGAGGGCGGGCAGGATGGTGTTGGGCAGTGCGGCGTTGTGGCTGCGTCACCAGGGTGGTCTCTTGGGGGGGTTTTCACCTGGTGCCTGCATGACCACAGTCCGGGCTGCTTCTCAAATCGGGACCGTCCTGGCCTGTTTCTGTGCGGATAACGATCTGCTGTGGGCAGCGCTGGGGCTCCCTCCCGCGGGCTCTGCCCACTGAGCGCGTCCAGGGCTTGTTCACCCCCGCGGAGGGAGTGACCTGCCACCAGCGGAGCTGAGCACCTGACCCCCTTGTTCCCGGTTTCTCTGGGAAGCTGCGAACTGTGTTCTTCCTGAGGCTTCATAGCAGAGGGACCGTCCCTTGGGGCCCATCTGCCCAGGACCTTTTCAGAACCGCAGGACTAGTTTCCTCGTGTTTGTTTGCGTGTCACGGACCCAGACTTGACGAGCTGCGCTCTCCCTGCGAGGCCTGTTCCCAGGCACCTCCCTGCCCACGCCGGCCCCTTCCCTCCCAGCAGACGGGCACGCTCGCGGCTCCGGGTGTTTTCGGGTCCCTGTCAGGGACGGTGCTCCCCGCCTCCCACGCGGTGACTCTGCCTTTGCTCCCAGGCTGTGACAACGCCATCATCATCTGGAACGTGGGCACGGGGGAGGCCCTGATCAACCTGGACGACATGCACTCCGACATGATCTACAACGTCAGCTGGAACCGGAATGGCAGCCTCATCTGCACGGCCTCCAAGGACAAGAAAGTGAGGGTGATCGACCCCAGGAAGCAGGAGATCGTGGCGGTGAGTCTGCCCGGGCGGGCGTGGTGCTCCAGGCCGCCCACGGAGGCTCCCACAGGGACCCAGGCCGGGAGGGCGCCTCGGGCTTCTGGCCCCGCCCGGCGGTGATTAGGGGCTGCCCCCGGCACGCCCAGGAGACCGGGTGGCACCAGAGCACTCGGCCATCCCTGTGACCCCCACCCCCAGGCCCCTTGGGCTTGTTTCTTTTAGTGACCGTTTCCACAGAAGCAAAGTCCTTGCTGAAGTAGAACCCCGGCGTCTTCTCCGTTATTGTTCTGTTTTGGGTCTCACCTGCCTGTCCCCGGGGCTTATTCCTGGCTCTGTGCGGAGGCATCCCTCCTGGCGGGACTCGGGGGTCCATTTGAGGGGGGTTCAAAGCCAGGTTGGCCACGGGCGAGGCACGCGCCTTCCCTGCTGTCCTGTGCTGCGGACTCAGCGGGCAGCCTGTGCTCCCAGCCCACCCCGCGGTGACTCACCCCCTCCCTGTTGCAGAAACGGTTGAAAGTAAAGACGCGGTGGGTTCTGCGAACAGCTCAGGGCTCGTTCATTCTCTGCGCTTGTTCCCTGGTTCTTGCTGCCTGTCCGTAAGGGATCATGGCCAGACCCCCCGGCCCCTCCTGGTTTCCTCCTGTGAACGTTGTAGGGGTGCGTGGGTCAGCAGACGAACCCCCCCACTCTGCAGTGTCAGGGTCGGTGACGCGCCCCTGTGTTCCCCCCGCAGGAGAAGGAGAAGGCGCACGAAGGAGCGAGACCCATGCGGGCCATCTTCCTGGCCGACGGCAACGTCTTCACCACCGGGTTCAGCCGCATGAGTGAGCGGCAGCTGGCTCTCTGGAACCCGGTACGCCCCCGGGCCCTGCTGCTCTGTGCCCAACGCGTCATTTCCTCAGTGGGCCTGGGTTGGGGCCGGAGCGTGGATCATTGGGTTCTTGGTGTTCTGGACGTGGGGATGGAGAACCGGATGTGAGCGTCTTTCTTTCCCCAGAGACTCATCGCACATACATGTGCACATTGTGTATTTATAGTACATATGTGCAGTGTGTGTTTGGGGTCACCCCTGCAGTGTTCGGCCCTACTCCTGGCTCTGCACATAAGGACCATTCCTGGCAGTGCTCGGGGGACCATCTGTGACCCCATGATCGAATCGAGTCTGCCGCGTGCGAGGGAACGTCTTGATCTCTGCAGCCCTGGCCCTTGAATGACATTTCTAAAAGCGTAGAAGTCGGAGAGATACCACAGAGGTCAGGGCGCAGGCCTTGCATGCTGCCCACCCCCGGCACTGCTAGGACGGCTCTGGAGACCCCACCCCTGGCGCCTGAGTTGCGCAGAGCCCCCATCCCCCTCAGAATCAAATCAAATTCAGAATGATTCTGATGCTCGCAAGGAGTTCTGTGTTCGCTGTATTTCTCTTAGAGAATACAGGGGAGAGGCCATTGTTGTAGAATTCTGAACCTGTAGAATTCTAAACCTGATCCTGTTTTATTTTTAAGAATAATCGTGTGTCTTGCCCACAATAATCATGCTTGGGACAAAGTAGTCATGTTTGTTGTTTTATTCATAATAACGTGAAGGGGTGGCAGTACCAAAGCTGTGTGTGTGTGTATTTTTAGCTTTTTAGAAAATGCATTTATTTTGTAACCAAAAGAAGTATCTTTAAAAAGGAAATTATTCGCTCAGGAAACTCATTTCTGACCAGCAGCCACACTGACACACGAGTTCATGACGCGAGCGGACCAGCACGGTTTTCCTCCTCTTTGGTCCTTGGGCCCTACTTGACCGTGCACAAGCTTCCTCCTGGCTCTGCGCTCAGGGGTCACCCCTGGCAGGGCTCCGGGGCCACCTGGGGTGCCGGGGATCAACTTGCCGGCTTTGTGCAAGGCGAGAACCCCACGTGCCGTCACGCCTCTCTGGACCCTCAGCACAGTTCGAAGTGGGTTGGCGCCAGTTTTCGTTTCTCTGTCGTTATTTCATACTTACGGACACCCTTTAGACCTTGTTCCAACTTGAATTATTTGAGGGAAACAGCCAAGTCAATAAGGGACAAAGGGATGAACCATAAGGTCTCAAAAGTGTGTGTGTGTGTGTGTGTGTGTGTGTGTGTGTGTGTACACACACTCACACACATTGGTCTTCCCAGAAAAACATGCAGGAGCCAATTGCCCTCCACGAGATGGACACGAGCAACGGGGTGCTGCTGCCCTTCTACGACCCCGACACCAGCATCATCTACTTATGTGGAAAGGTAACGGGTGTCTCGGTGGTCTCGATTCTTGTGGGGCCCGGAGAAGTCTCTCTTGAGCAGATGAGCGGGATTTCCTTCTCGGGGGTGTATTCGAGCGTGTGTGTGTGGCGCTAGGAGCAGGGCGGGCCTGTGTCCTGCTGCGTTCTGGCTCCTGGGAGCTCCCAGGGGGACGTGCTGGGAGAGAGATGTCGGGCCGGGCGCTCGCGGGGATCCGTAGTCGGTGGGTTTAAGGTTTCTCCGTCTCTGGGGTGGAGCTCAGAGTGGAGCCACACGGGAGTGAGGGGCGAGGCCCTGGGTTTGGTCCCTCCCCCTCCCCCCCCCCCCCCCGCCTCCTCCCTGCACACCCACCTAAACAGAAGACTCCCAAGGGGGAGGGGGATCCCTGCCTCCCTGGCGGAAGGCTGTGCCGCGTTGCGAGCTGAGGTGGGCAGCTGGCTAGGTGACCCCTGCATGAACTCTTGGCCAGTCGAGGGAGGAGCCTTGGCCGCCTCCAGGCCTCTCGAGCGGGCTGTTCTTCCTGGGGCTCGTGGGCTTAGAGATCCCTGGTGTGGGCCTGGCCCTGGCCCTGGCCCAGCGCAGGAGGGAGGCGCCTGCCTTGCCAGCTCGAGGCTGCCAGTCTGCTCCCCGGCACCACCCACCAGCAGCACCTCGGTCTGTCGGGGACCACGTGATGTGCAGGCCAGGTGTGTGAGCACCGCAGTTGGGGCACCCGCCCGGCACTGCTGCCTGCCACGGGAAGGAGGGGGCCAGGGGGCCGGTCCCGGAAGACCCCGTACTGGACCTGCCGCTCTTCTCTCGGGCTTGGTGGGTCACTCCCCCCCCCCCCCCCGCCCCTCTCTCTCGTTCAATTCAGGAGATGATGTTTCAACATTCCTTTTTTTTTTTTTTCTTTTTTTCTTTTTGGGTCACACCCGGCGATGCCCAGGGTTTACTCCTGGCTCATGCACTCAGGAATTGCTCCTGGCGGTGCTCGGGGGACCATATGGGATTCTGGGGATTCAACCTGGGTCAGCCACGTGCAAGGCACATGCCCTCCCTGCTGTGCTGTCGCTCCAGTCCCATGTTCCTTACTTTCTTACAGGCTTAATTGTCCTGGCAGCAGGGGCCAGGGAGAGGGAGATTTTTTTTAATTATTACTACTGGTTTGTTGTTGTTTTGGTCCACACCTCTCGGTCTCAAGATTCACTCCCGGCTCTGAACTCGGGTCACTTAGTTTGGGCTTGGCAGACCCCGTGGGGTGCCGGGGATCGAACCCTGGTCAGCCTCCCGCGAGGCAAGCGCCCTCCCCGCTGTCCTGTGGCTCTGGCCCCTCCTGAGTGCACGGTGTCATGGAGATGATCTGTTTCTAGACACAGCTGCCGCCCTTGCCGGGTAAGCGGGGGCCGCGCTTCCTTCTTGAGCCGGTTGCCGGCCTGCAGGCCTGGTGACATATTTTTAGGTCAGTTCCTTAGAAACTGAGGTCTCGTCTGTTTTTCTTGAAAGTCATCTTGCCACACGAACGGTTGTTAAGTGTATCTTACCTGGCCACTGCTGCCATAGATTGTATCAAAACAAACAAGCCGCGATGCCCCAGCTGCAGTTACCACTCGGTGAGAAATCGTTCTGAGCACACGGGGAGCGGATGACGCTTCTCCCTCTGCCACAGACACCTCAGCCTTGGGGCAGGCGGGGATCCTGAGCCCCGAGTGGACGGGTGGGAGTGATGACTCAGGCCGGTCGTGACTTTCATCTGTGTCTGTGGCCCTGTCGCCGGGGGTGGGGGCCTTTATCGCCCGAGTTGATACAGGCACGTGATAATTAAGAGACTGAAGTAAGCAGAGCTAGAAATAACGGATGCAGAGTCAGGAAGTAGGCCTGCCTTCTCAAGTTGAAGGAGAGCCGCTCAAGTGGGCTTTTCTTTCTTTCTCTCTCTCTCTCTTTCTCTCTCTCTCTTTCTTTCTTTCTTTCTTCTTTCCTTCCTTCCTTCCATCCTTCCTTCCTTTCTTACTTTGCTCTTCGGGTCACCCTGGTGGTGCTCAGGGGTTATTCCTAGCTCTGCACTCAGGAATTACTCCTGCCAGTGCTCGGGGGACCCTATGGGATGCCGGGAATCGAACCCGGGTCGGCCACACACAAGGCAAACTCCCTCCCCGCTGTGCCGTCACTCCAGCCCATAAGGCGGGCTTTTCTCAAAGTGAAAACTTTCCCTTTCCCGCCCGCTCGTGCTCCAGGCCCCTGGGCGGCACTGCCCGGCACCCGTGAACCGTGTCACGTCCGCACTTGCCCCCGGGTAGTCTTTTGTCGGCTCGGTTTGGGGCGTTGAGACGGGGAAGGAATCAGTTTCTTCCTCTCTGCCTTCACTCGGAGGCCAGGTCAGTGACGTCACGTCTGACCTTCGGGAGGAAACCGCAGCGATTGCGTGAGACCGAGGGGTCAGCTGCGTCGCCAGGGCGAGAGCGCGGCAGCCGCCGTGCCGTCCCGCGCGACCCAGACCGTCTCCGTCTCTCCTAGGGCGACAGCAGCATCCGCTACTTCGAGATCACGGACGAGTCCCCCTACGTCCACTACCTCAACACGTTCAGCAGCAAGGAGCCGCAGCGAGGCATGGGCTGCATGTCCAAGAGGGGGCTGGACGTGAACAAATGCGAGATCGCCAGGTGAGGGGCCGGCCTCGGGGCCCGGAAGCCGCCTCTCGGGAGGCTGTGTGCGAGGGCGGGCAGGGCCTGTCCTTGCGAGTCCTTCGTCCCTCTCCATTCTCCGGATGTCCTTGGGAGCCCGGTGTCAAGAAATGGCTCTCCCCCTCCCGCCCCGTTAGAACAGCAGCACGTGCACTGTCCATGTGGCACCAGGTGACACTGACGCGCGGCTCTGGGCACACCGTCCGTGATCGGCATGTGGGCCAGAGCCATGGCACTGCGGGGAGGGCGTTGGCCTTGCACGCGGCCGACCCGAGTTCAATCCCCAGCACCCCATAGTGTCCCCCGAGCACCGTCAGGAGTGACTCCTGAGTGCAGAGCCAGGAGGAACCCCTGAGCATCACTGGGTGTGACCCAAAAAGAAAAAAAAATCAAGAATTGGCATCTTCTACATAAAAAGCAAGCTGATTCTTTGATCTTCATCTTCTCTTTTTGAAATCTTTTTTTTTTCCAGTTAAGGCACTGTGATCTCCAAAGTTGCTCATGGTTGCGTTTCAGACATGCAGGGGTCCAGCACTGGCCCTGCCACCAGTGTGCCCAGGCTCCCTCCCACCCCAAATTCTGTATTTCATTATGAGCAATGAAAGAAAGCTCTCACTGGTGATTCAAGTTTTGGTTTAAGGGGCCAGAGCGATAGCACAGCAGGGAGGGCTGCCTTGCACATGGCCGACCCAGATTCAACCCCTGGGCATCCCACATGGTCCCCCAAGCACCCCGGGAGTAATTCCTGAGTGCAGAGTCAGTAGTCAGCCCTGAGCATTGCCGGATGGGACCCAAAAAGCAAAACGAAACGAAGTTTTGGGTTAAGCCTGCATTTCTCACCTGAGGGCCACACGATGACGGTCCTGTCAATGCCTGATGTTGAGACCCAGGCCAACTGGTCAGGCAGGCAGGAAGAAGGCTGCAAGGGTGCGTGGGAGATAGGCTGAGAATCTGTTCTTAAGGTTGTGAGCAGCATTGGGGGACATTGATTAACAATACTAGCACCCCAAAAGCACCTTCCGGAAGTTCAGAGTTTCTCCTGTTCGAGTCAGACCCTGCTTAGCACGTTGGGCGGGGGCTTCTTCGTTGTTGGGTTTTTGATTCTGCCTGTTGGGCCACGTTTGGGGGTGCTTGAAGCCGCTCCCGCTGGTGTTGGAGATGGAGCCCAGGCCTCTGGCCTGCAGACCGCTGCCCGGGCCCTTTCGGCCGTCCCCCAGCGTGGGCAAGCGTGGCGTGTTGGAACAGCGCCTCTTCACAGCTTGCTGACTGCTCACCTCTCACCCAGGGCCTCCTCGTCCTGCTCTCGACACAATTTGGATCGCTTTGAATTTTTCTCTCTTTTGTGGAGCGATGGCACAGCGGGTACGGCGTTTGCCTTGCACACAGCCCACGCAGCCGACCCGAGTTCGATTCCTCCGCCCCTCTCGGAGAGCCCGGCAAGCTACCGAGAGTCTCTCGCCCGCACGGCAGAGCCTGGCAAGCTCCCCGTGACGTATTCGATGTGCCAAACACAGTAACAACAAGTCTCATGAAAGAGACGTCACTGGGCCCGCTCGAGCAAATCGATGAACAGCGGGAGGACAGTGCAACGCGGTGCAGTCATGAACCAGGTGTTTTGCTCGGACGCCAGATTTTTCGTTTCTCGCCTTTTCAGAAACCCAATTTGCATTTGCAAAGGCTCAGCCCCCTCAGGACAACAGACCAGCCTCCCAGTGGTCCAGACCACCTGCTGTGTCGGTGGTATAAGTGCTCCCCTGGGAACTGGGTGGTTTGTTTTATTTGGGGGCCACACCTGCTGTGTTCTACAAAATTACTCTTCGTTGGTGGTGGTTTGGGGGCCACACCCCGCGAGGTTTAGGGGTTCCTCCTGGCTGTGCGTTCAGGGATCACCCCTGGCGGACCATGTGGGATACCAGGAATCCAACCCGGGTCAGCTGTGTGCAAGACAGCGCCCTCCCCACACTCTGGCCCTTGGTGATTGAGTGTGTGTGCCATGTCCCCCCACCCACACACACCCCGCGAGTCATTGTCATGGTGGTGTTTCCTGAAGCGCTCCACTGCCCAGGGGCCGTTGGGGTTGGACACTTCCCGAATGCACGGTCCTCTCTCCACCCTCACCCCTGCCTCCCATCCCCCTTGTCCCAGCATAGCTTCCCGTGGCTCCCGTTGGCGTTTCCACCTACAGCAGAAACACGGGGCTGGTGGGGTGAGGCGGAGTGCGAGGCATTTCCACCCACGCGACACACGGCCGGCGAGTCGCTGTTGTGCGGTTTGATTTCCCCTTCACTCACGGCCACTTTCCTTGTTTTCTCTTGGAAGATTCTTCAAACTGCACGAGAGGAAGTGCGAGCCCATCATCATGACCGTCCCCAGGAAGGTAGGTGCCCCCGTCCTCGAGACGGCAGCCGCGGGTCCCCCAGGCCGCCTTCCCTGGGCTGACGGGTCTCTCCCCGAATGTCTCTCGCAGTCCGACCTCTTCCAAGACGACCTGTACCCGGACACCGCGGGGCCGGAAGCCGCGCTGGAGGCGGAGGAGTGGTTCGAGGGCCAGAACGCAGACCCCATCCTCATCTCCTTGAAGCATGGCTACATCCCTGGCAAAAACAGGGACCTCAAGGTGGTGAAGAAGAACATCCTGGATAGCAAGCCCTCGGCAAACAAGAAGTGTGACCTGATCAGCGCCCCCAAGAAAACCGCAGACACGAGCAGTGTGGTGAGTCCCATCGCCGGGCGAGGAGGCGTGTGGCTGGGTCTCCGGCTTCCCTTCCAGGCCTGGGTCCCACGGGTCCCACGGGTCCCGTCCCTCCTGTGGACCAGCCAGACTTGATTCTGGTGACCCCCCCAGGATGGGGGTCATGCCGCCCCTCTGAGTTTGGGGGTCACGTGCCTTCTTGTGTGTACGATTCCTGGGGGAGAAGACCGCCACCTGCGTGTGAACAGGAGCCTCTGATGAGCCCGTGGGCACGAGGAGAGACTGTGAGAAGGGGCCGGGGCGATAGCACAGTGGGGAGAGCGTTTGCCTTGCACGCGGCTGACCCAGGTTCGATCCCCGGCATCCCATATGGTTCCTGAGTGCAGAGCCAGGAGTAACCCCTGAGCCTCGCTGGGTGAGACCCATAAAAGCAAAAGTAAATAAGGAGAGAAAGGGGTAACTTGCGGGGGAGGGGGGAGGCAGCACCCCCTGAGGTCAAGGGGAGGAACTGCATGGCCCAGGCTGGGGAAACAGTCTCTCCCGGACCGTGCCCACCTACCTCCGGGTCAGGCAGAGTGAAACATGGCACCTTCCCGGGCGCCGGGAGGAACTGACTCGGGAGTGAGGTGCAGCGCCACGGGACGGCAGGCTGGTGCTGAGGGGAGGGGCCCCGGCAAGAACCATTTCGCGGTGTGGTGGGCACCAAGGCCTGGCACTGCCGGCACAGGGTTCAGACCCAGAAGGGGCCCCGGGGCGGGTGGGCGTGGCCGGGCAGGAGCGGGAGGGGGCACAGCGCTGCTGGAAGGGGCCCCCCTTCCAGGCTGCAGCCCTGCTGGCCACGTGACCGGGGCGGGGGCAGAAACCGCTGGTGGGGGCGAAGGTCTGGGGAGCGGGGGCAGCACGTGAGACGCTCGGTCCTGCAGCGCAGCGATCGGCCCCACTGACGCCATCTCGGTGTTGGGCCCCTTGACGCCCGGCCAGGCGGCTGGGGAATGGCCTCCTGGGACCGGAGGCCTTTCCACCGTCCAGACTCTGTTTCCCGCCTCTCAGTCCGCCTTCCCGTTCACCGCCCGCCCCTCTGCCCCCCGCCCCTTCTGCTTTTGTCTCCGCAGCAAAGCGAAGCCAAGCTGGACGAGATTTTAAAGGAGATCAAGTCGATCAAAGACACGATCTGCAGTCAGGACGAGCGGATCTCCAAGCTAGAGCAGCAGATGGCCAAGATCGCAGCCTGAGGCGCCGGCCTCGCCCCACCCCACATGGGAGCAAGAACTCGTGCCGGTCGCTCGGAGGGGACGTCCACCTCGGCCGTCAGCCAGCCACAGGCCACGTTCCAGCGGAACTCGATTCGTCTCTCAAATTTGCGGAAACAAAATGTGATTTCAAAGCTGAGCTTTTTATCGGAAAGCTTTTTTTTTCTTTTCCTCCTGATGTTTTAAGTGTTAATGTGACTCCTGAACTCTTGACAAAAGTGCGTTGAAAATCCCATTCCATTCTGAATTTTAGGAAACCAACCCATTCTGATTCGGTGTCATGCCCAAGTTTTTTATTTTAACAAATAGGGACCAAGGCCACGTTGCTTTTTATATTTTCTTTTTCTTTTCCCCCTCTTCACGTTGCCAAAACCAAAAGTAGCTTTTATTTTTTTTCTTTGCTTTTGCTACTTCGCAGTATTCGTGTGTGGGTTTTTTTCCTTCTCTCGATTTTTGAAAGGGACAACACTGTGTATGTTTATAAACTCAATGCAGATAAGAGATTCTTTTGTACGAACACTCGTCCGAGGACTGTCTGAGCGGTGGCTGCCCTGGGCAGCCGGGGACGGGGGCCCCTGCGGGTTCCTCGCGCCTCCCCTCCCGTGTCAGGGGGTCGGCTCCCTCCCCCGAGCTCGGAGCTGCGTTCCTTTCCTTGCTCGCTCTCTCCGCCGGAAGCCGGGTGGTCCTGCCAGAGCGGAACGTGGCCTCTTGCCTAGCCTGTGCCCCGGCCGGTCCCGGTCTGCCTTGAGCTCACCGGAATCTCCACCGTTTGTCCCCCCACCCCCACCCCCGCCACGCAGACCCCCGCACACTCATCACTTGAAACAGCACATTTCCGGGTTGGGTCGACACTTGACTAGGGTGCCCGGGACGAGGGCTCGTCTCGCCCGTTTGTCAGCAGCTTGTCTCGCTCTTGGGTGCAAAGCCGGGGGGCTTGGAGGGGAGCAGCCCCGCCCCTCTCCCTCCCCTCCCGCCCCCCAGCCCCACCCCGAGGCCCTCCACCAGCAGTGCCCCCGCCCGCCCTTCCTCCTGCCTCCAGCCGAGACGGGAAGGAGCATTCCCAGGGGCGCAGAGCTCGGCCTGGGCCCCGCCCACCCCACCCTGCGGCTTGCCCCAGGGGCCGTAGCAAAGCACAGACACCCCCCAGACCGGGGGTCCAGAGACGGCTCTGCTCCCCCCTCCCAGCCTCCACTAGCTCTGATTTCTCCGTTCCCACGTTCTCATCTTGCATGCTTGACGGACACGATGTAAAGGTGTTTGTGTTTTGGAAGGGACGCCAGTCAGTGGCCGAACACTGAACAAAACAGTGCCATGGGGACCAGGCGGGAACCCGTCACACAGTCCGGTCAGGGTCAGGGTCGGGCCGTGTCCCGGGGACCAGGATGCAGTGGCACGTGGCAAACTCAGGTCGGAGCGCGGCCGGGCTGGGGGAGGGGGCGGGGTGGGACGGCCACCTAGGAAAGGTACCGTGTTCTTGACCGATAACGGGATCACTGCCTCCCGTGTCAGGGCATCTGAATGTGTGATGTGGTTTAGTGTGTGTGTACGTGTGTGTTTTTTATATTGAAGTGGATAATGAGATGTAAAGAAAACAATGATTACCGTGGCGACCGCGCCTATACGAGTCTATCAGTGTGATCTAATCAAGGACCTGCTTCGTTTTTAAGGTTCTGAGGTTCTGATGACAAATTTTTTTTCCTTCTTTTTAAGTGTTGGTGGTGAAACACCGGAGGGACTTGGTTCAAAGAGAAGAGGGCGGGGTGGGGGCGAGGGAGACGGTGCCGCGGTCTTAGCGTGTAGCCTCGGATAATTTAATGACGGATGCCCGGCCAGGCTGTCTGGTGCCTGAAGCATTGTGGATTACTTCTCCTGTTTTGTCTCTTCTTCCCCCCAAAAGCCGTGCTGTCCCAGAGGAGAGCCTGTGAATCACTCTAGATCGGCTCTTATAGAGCGGCCTCGTATTCTGGCGAAAACAAAAAACTCTTGCTTCCATTTTCAGAGATTAAAGAGAAATCATTGATTACAAAACGGTGTGCGCGTCTCTCTCCCTCTTCCCCGTCTGCATGCTGACGTGTCCTCTGAGGACGAGTGCCAGGGATGCGTGGGCCCCCTCCCCTCGGCACACGGGGGACATCCGAGGGGCTCCTGGGGAGGGACGCACTCCCCTCCCAGGCCCCGGCTGGCCACTGCCTCTGACGCCTGCCCCCAGCCTTGTCCAGGCTGGGCCCCCAGCACGCTTTCTACTCTCTCAGCCCCGGTTCTTTTTTTTTTTGCTTTTTGGGTCACACCCGGCGATGGTCAGGGGTTCCTCCTGGCTCGTGCGCTCAGGAATTACCCCTGGTGGTGCTTGGGGGACCCTATGGGATGCTGGGAATCGAACCCGGGTCGGCCGCATGCAAGGCAAACGCTCTCCCCGCGGTACTATCGCTCCAGCCCCTCTCAGCCCCTTTTCTTATCCCGAAAGTGGGACACGCAAGGCCAAGGTGGTCACTCAACCCTCACTCCCAGGGGCTTCCCACAGACACTTGTTTCCTCCAAAGAAAAGTCTCATGGCCTGACTGTGGCTTTTCCACCATAATTTCAGCGGGAGAATTTCTTCTTTTCTATTTTTCCTATTTTTTTGGAGGGTGGGCATTTTTGGGTCACACCCGGCAATACTCAAGAGGTTACTCCTGGCTCTGCACTCAGGAATCACTCCTGGCAGTGCTCAGGGGACCATATGGGATGCTGGGAATCGAACCCGGGTCGACCGCATGCAAGGCAAACCCTCTACCCATTGTACCATTGCTCCAGCTTCTCTCGGGAGAATTTCAGGGTGAAGTGGTCTCTCAGCTCCCGAAGTGATGAAGCAGGCGCCTCCTATCCCCACACCCAGCCTCTGGACGTGAGCGTGAGCAGGACAGGCACTGGCGGAGCGCCCGCCCTCAGACACCCCGAGTGGCCGCGGTCTGACCGCCAGACCCCAGGTTCGTGGGCCGCCGAGCGGCAGGATGTGGCCGTTGGCAGCTGCCCTGTGCAGCCTCCCAGCTCCCGGTCAGGGAGGAGGCGCGTGGCCCCCAGGGTGCGCGGCTGGTGTCTGCCTGCCAGAAACGGACCTCGCGTCCGCCCCAGACGCCAGCGGGGGAGAAGTTCTGCTTCAACTTTCAACGGCCACTTCCCTTGCCGGGCTTGGTGAGGGGCCGGTGCCCGGGAGGGCGTCTCGTGGGCGTGCGTCCACGTCAGGTCCCTCTCAGCGGCCCTTTCTGCAGCAGGTCCGGAGTCCTCCTGCCGGCTGCCGGTCAGCGGCCAGCCTCCTCCAGGACACAGTTTGCTGCTGTGAGCAGAGGGAGCGTTTCCAGAGGCAGCTGGGCCCAAGCCAGGCGGCATCTGTGCACTCACCGTTGGTCCTCAGCCCAGGAAACCAAACGGAGCCCGGTTCATCTGTTCCATTGATGTGTAACAATGTGCAGCTTAATCATTTTAAACGTATCGAGGAAGGGGAGAGAGGACAGAGGGTGGGCACTTGCTTTGCACACGGCCCCAGTTTCATCCCTGGGACCACCCTGAGCACAGCTAAGAGTGATCCCTGAGTGCTGAGCCAGGAGTAAGCCCTGAGCTCAGCCAGGTGCCACCCCCCTCCCCCCCCCCAAATAGTATCAGATAGGAAACTTTTGACTGAGAACAAGAAGGAAAAAAAAATTTTTTGTCTTTGGAGGGAGGGCCACACCTGGCAGTGCTCAGGGGTTACTCCTGGCTCTGAGTCAGGAATCGCCCCTGGAGAGGCGAGCACCCAGGCCAGAGGGGACACCCTTGTCCCTCGAAGTGTGCCAGTAGTGGGGCTCGAATTGTAACCCAGAACCTGCACCCGTGTGCGGCCACCGCCTCCCCCGGGTACTGACGGGGGTGGGGGCTGGCAGCTGCCAGTTAATCTCCCTTTTCTTAGTGTGTCGGACCCGTATCTCAGCCTCCGATTCTAAACGCCCAGGAGGGCCGTCTGGCTGCCCAGACACATCAGGCCAACTGTCCACTAGTTTTTCTCAATCAGAAGACCCCCTAAACTCCCCAAAATAAAGGGGAACAGGAATCACGCCTGGAGGTGCATGGGCATGGGATGCCAGGGATCGAACCCTGGTTGGCCGTGTGCAAGGCAAGCGCCCTACTCACTGGCCCCCAAGTAGGAAACATTTAAAACACAGATCCACGGGGCCAGAGAGAACAGAACAGGCCACACACAGACTTGGCATGTGGAAGCCATGGGCTTGGCCCCCGACACCTGTCATCCCCTGAGCATCAAAAAATTGCGAAACATGGTTGACTGTGACTTTTTCAAAGTATGTCTATTTGACCACAGCTTGAAAGGGTTTTATTTCTGGGTATCAGGTGCCCCCATGGTACCACAGAGTCTCAGATGTCCTCAGAAAAGCAAGACTCGGCCTTGTGAAATGAGCCACAGGATGGGCGGGCTTTCTCCTGTCCATCATCTATCAAGACCCTTGGAAATCAGTGCCAAGGGATGGATATTTTCAGGAGACCGGGGTTGGGGTCGAGGGCTCTTAAGCCTCTCAGAACGCCAACGACCAGCATTTCAAGACAGTCTAGGGATTTGATCCATGACCTTGACTGTGGGTCAGCAGAATAATATCACTGCCCCAGAACAGACTGGCTTGGGTTCCCCTGGTTTCAGCATATTTGGATACTAAGAACAGATTCCTAAGTCAAAGTCAACTCCAACTGCTTGGTGAGTGTCGTTTTTACTTAACTGGATTTTTTCTAAAATAATCCTACAACTATTTTTATTCTCACAAAACTGTCAGAGTTAATAAATGACTCCACTGGGGCCAGAGCGAGAGTAGGCAGGGTAGGGTGCTTGCCTTGGACAGAGCCGGCCCAGGTTTGATTCCCGGCACTGCCAGGAGTGATCTCAGAGCACGGCCAGGAGTAAGCCCTGAGTACCAAAACCAAAAGTGAATCAATTTCTGACGCAAGCATCATAGATCAGTAGGGAATTGTCAGGAGTGGCTCTGGAGACAGGAAGTTTGTAGAACCTTAGGTGACATCAAGGTACATTCTCTTTTTTTTTTTTCTTTTCTTTTTGGGCCACACCTGGTGAGGCACAGGGGTTACTCCCAGCTCTGCATTCAGGAATTACTCCTGGCGGTGCTCAGGGGACCAGACGGGATACCGGGGATTGAACCCCGGTCGGCCGTGTGCAAGGCCAACGCCCTCCCCGCGGTGCTATTGCTCCAGCCCCTCAAGGCACATTCTTAAGTGGTCAGTAGCTAAATGGAAAGTAGGAGAGGGAGAGTATGGGGGACGGGTAAGAGGCAGGACTGACGTGTCGCTGACTCCAGTCAGATCCCAAGCACTGCCTGCAGTGACCCCCGAGCTGTTACTGCCAGGAGCGGCCCTCGAGCACCACCAGGTGTGACCCCAAAACCAAGATTTTAAAAAGTGAAAAAAGACTTTGTTTTTCAAACTTAGAAGAAAAGATAATCCTCTAACAGAGTGAGGAAAACATTTCAAGTCCCCAAGCAATTAGGCTAAATCACAAAGGAAAAGACGGCTTACCTAGTTACGTAAGCATGGAATCCGTGGAAAACAACGGAGCCCTTGGAGGCCCAAGGCAACGTGGCAGCCAGATTTCTCCTGGGGGCTGTCTGAGAGCATCACACACACACACACACACACACACACACACTGGGACACACACACGCCCTGGGACAGACACACATACACACATCCTAGGACACACACATCCTAGGACACACACCCCCTGGGACACACACCCTGGGACATACACAGCCTGGGACACATGCTGGGACACACCTTGGGGCACACACATACATACACATCCTGGGACACACACAAACGCACCCTGGAACACACACATCCTGGGACATACACACACCCTGGTCTGTCACACGTAGAAGCGGAAGGTGTTGGCACGGGGACGATCATAGCGTGTTTTCTAGGACATCCCCAGGTGCAAATCTTTTGAAAAGGCGAAGGGCGGGAGTAGGAGCCTCTGGGGACCCACAGGCAGACGGGGGAGGCAGCGGCTGGAGGTGTTGGGCCGGGATGCGCGGAAGCCGTGCGGGGAGCTGGCGCCGTGCTCCCCTTCCCTTTGGTGCTGGGACCGGCCCAGGGAGTGCCCGGGGGGTCACTCTGGGGGGGCTCCGGAGACGGAGAGGTACTGAGCTGGAACCCAGGGGTCCCATGGTAGGAGGGGGAGGTGCCCGCCCGGCCACCTGCGGAATTGATAACAGTAGTTCTGCTTCGTTGTGTAGAAATGAGACTGCGAGGGAGAACTGATACAGAGAGCGCAGGTTGGTCGTGGGGCTTGGGTGGGGGTGACGTTAGTTAGGCAAGGAGCTCTGCTTTGGGGGCAGAACTCTCGTGACGGACCTTGGAAGGCAGTGCCAGTCCCTCTGTCCAGGGAGCCAGGGGTCAGGGGACGGAACGCCCGCCAGCCCTCCACCTGGAAGGCAGTGAAGGGGGAAGTGAGCCTCTCCTGTTGACCACGGGTGCCGGGAACTGTTGGCGGTGGCTTGCGGTGGCGTCTCCCCCACAGCCGTCCCGGAGTCTCTACACTGTCACAAAGGCGGACAGACTATAGGCTTGGCGTAGCCCTGCGGAGAGACGACCCTTCGGCATTCAGTGTCCCTCCACCTGCGGGCTGCCCCTGTCCCTGTGGGTAGGCCCGCGGGCTGGCAATTAGATCCACGGCCCCTGGGATATTCCGAGTGACTATCACGTTCAAGAGGGGACCACGGTGGGAGACTAGGGGGACAACCAGTAGGACGGGGGGCCCAGGAAGGAAATAGGGCAGAAGGGGTCCGTGGTAGGGGGAAGATGGAGAAATCCCGGGGACAGAGGTGCGGCTGGAGGGAGCCATGGGGGCGCTGGAGAGGTGGCAGGCACAGGGCTCAGGGTGCTCGGCTCAACGCCCCAACCCGGGTCAGATCCTGGGCGTCCCAGACAGTCCTCCGAGCCCACCAGGAATGATCCCTGAGCACAGAGCCAGGAGTCAGCCCTGAGCAC